CCTTTGAAGCTCTCCCACACGTGAAATGCTTTACCAGTTCTGCCTTCCTGTGTTCTCTGAGGCTGTTAAGCCCAGTGCTGCTGTCTGAAGCTTGTTTTGAAGGGTTACCCGGGAGAGGTGTGGTGGGAGTGGACACACGCTCCCCCTGTGTGACAGTGCAGTGCTCTGATCCACTCAAAATGAACTCAGACACTAAAGACGATGCATTATTTAAAGAGGTGCCATTAAATGGCACAGCATGGTACAGTGTGCAGTACTTTTAAGTCAAGCTGCCCAGATGTTCTGTGCATGGAGTTCACCAGGAACAATGTTAGGGAAATGGAGAAAAGATTTACTATGGTCTCTGTTGTCCTAATTCAGTAAAATCATCCCACAGGGATCATGCACCATATCGTCAGCAGTAACATTGACTGGCCCATTTATCATCTTGTTAGTCTAGTTGGCCTTGGGAAAATATCTCCACTCCCTCTGTAATTATTCTTCATTAGCTTTATCAAAGCACAGTTCAATTTTCTGCCTCTCTCACTGTTTAGAAAGTGAACACTAGATCCCAGTATGCTCAAAAGCTTAATATTATAGTCATCATTTGGAAATTCCCTTTTTATTTTAAAAGGCTGGAATAGGAATGCTCTGAGTATTCCAACAAGCTGGTTAGCAAGATGGGTGAGTTACAGGCCATTGATTTCCTGAGAAGTTGAATCCAGTCTATTCTGATTAATATTAAAACTAGACTGAATATCTTTTGAGTGGTTGAGAAAGTGTTTCATGAATTTAGAGCAGGTTCGTTCATTCACCAAATTCATTGAGGTCCTACTCAATGCCAGTCACTTCTGTTTGCTGAGGCTCCAGATGTCAGTGAAATTGAGCTGACATGGTCTTTGCCCTTATGAAAGTTATTATTCCAACCATCAGTCTACTAGGAAATACCACAGATGTAAATGTGAGAACAGGGTGAGTAATACTTAACCTAGTATTTTGTTATAAAAAAATCTCTTGATTTTAGCTCATTAGTTCACCATTTTTATCTTCGCCATAAAAACTGAGTGCTGAATATGTTCTGTTTATTGGAACTTCCCGGTTTATTTACAATTAAAGGTGCTTGGCATTTGATCACATAGCGCTACTTTTAAACAAAGTGAATATTAAGTTAGAAGCCAGAATGAGCCATTTTTCAGAGTTTTGAAAGTGATTATCATTAGAACGATCCCCACCTGGCACAGGTCTCTGAGGAAAGGGCACTCTGTGACCATGTAGCATGGATGCTGCTAGCTGCATCTTTTGATAACCCAGCTGCTTATGCAGATTTGAATCGCCCTATTTCCAAGTTTATACATACATGCACAGGTACACTGTCCTTTGGCCAGTGCACACGGGCTCCTCTCCAGGTCGGAGCGGGGCTGCTCTGACCCAGAAAGGCCCATTCTGACTCAGTGTCTGCAGGAGGTCCACTAGCTTCTCATGCCTTTGGCTTTCAAGTTTCCTCTTTATTTTCTGGAGCTTTTGCATAAATATTCTATAGCAGTTTTTATTTTTAAATAAAGCAAATATGAAGCACGGTAAAGGGACAGTACATGCTTTGGCACTGTTTGAGGGTTGAAATGAAGATCAGTGATATCTTGGACTTGAAAGTGCTTTGTAAGCAAAAATGATGCAGGCAGTTGGGTACTTTCTCTATCTCTTGTGTTACCAATGGGAGTGGCCAAGAGTCTATTTCCTGGAATGAGGTCATAGAAGCTTCAGGGAGGGCATTATCCTCTCCAGGAAGCCTCTTCATCTTCGTGCCAGGAATGTATTCCTGAGGTTGTCTCTCCTGGGTATTGGCATCATAAACCCTCACTTTGGAGACACTAATCTGGTTGTTTTTTTAGTAAAGGAAGTCCTTTTGGACCATACTGTTTTCAGTCTGTCACACTGTGCTTGGAGTATTTTGTGGATTTGTAGAACATGCAAGTGTATCTGCATGAACTTGCTCTACACAAGCCTTGATTACATTCTTCATATTATTTTAGCACTTCAGAAGAATGGCAGTCTTGGTTTACCTTGAAAAACTAAGGATTTTTTTAAAAAAGAAAATTAGAATTTTTATAAATGTTCTTGGTACATATGAATAGTTTTAGAATTTACAGTATGTTTTAACATACAGAAGTATTTGAGTAAAAATACTGACCTCCGGGTTTGTTGTTAAACTAATCAATTGTTAATGCTGAAACTCTTCTATTCAGGAACCACCTTTGAACTTCCTTATGCTGAAAACAAAACGCAGAACAGCAAAGAAAGGCTGCAATTCTGAATGTCACCAGTAGGTGACGCTAGCAGTCACAGCGGTCCTTTCGGTCCCAGGCATCATTTCCACGTCATTGTCTGGCTCATGTGCCTGTGTTTAGTTTTTAATTATTTTAAGAAAATTGATAATATCAACATATCTGACAAGTGCTAGAACATTGACCATGTTGAAAGTGCTGATAAAAAGAGGCACATGAGGATGATAGGCAAAAAGTAAGATAAAAAAAGTTAAGTGGTGAGAAAACAGTGTTTTAAGTGTGCATGAGATGAACAGTTCAATGAACAGAACAACTCAAGGGACAAAGAATAACCCACACAATATGTTTAAAGTGTTGTCCCCGTGCAGAGGCAGTGATTGTCAAGTGATGGGGGAAAAATGTTTGACCAAGTGGAGTATATATGGGCTAAAAGAGCAGTGTCAAATGCCTGTTAGCCTGATGCTAATTCAAGAAACAGCTAAGAATTTTTGTTCAGAAGCTTACAGGCCGAGCTTAGTGGAGATGCTGCCAAAGCTCTGCCAGTTGCATAGGTCTAGGTCTATCTGAGACAAACAAGCGGACAGACTGGGAGTACAGCTAACATGGTTGGGGCAATATCTCTAGTACTCGAGGAGGAAGGGAGGTGGTTACCTGCCTCCTAATCTTCAACATAGAGGAAACTGATCCTTTTGGCAAAATGATGCCTCTGAGATCTTATACCACTGAGGAAAAGGTGAGTGAGCCTGTTCTTAAAGCTCACCTTCCTTATGATGGAAATGTAGTCAGAGACTGCACCCCAGGCCCTTCAAAGTCATCGTGAACTTTTGAACAGACAGACTTACCCAGCAGCTGTTGGAGCAGTTCTAACCTGTTTGTAAGTAGGAGAACTGCTTACTCTACCATTCTATTTTAGATGCAGAGCAGCTGTGCATACTTTTATGATATTAAAATAAGGTTGTAAAACCTACAGGATTCATTATTCTGCCAAGTAATAAGCATAAAAAATATTCTGACTGATGACTTATTTTCTTGTCATCACAATGTTGACATAGTGGAAAAAGCATAAACTCTGGCACAAGCCAGCTGTGTGACCCCAGGAAGCTATACAACTCCACTGAGATTCAGTTTCTTCATCTGAAAATTGGGTATCATGTTGCCCATCCATCATAGATGTTGTGAGGAGTCAGAATAATACTGAGTCACTGACAAAGGGCCTAGTCATCACAGGCCTCCGGTGACTTGCAGCCATTAGTGGAATTAGCATTAATTGCATTCCCCCTAATTAATAAAAGAGCTCAGCGGACAGCTTGACATGAGCCACTAGTTGTTATGGCCAGTTTATCAGCTAAGAAAGACTAAACTTTTGTAACAAATAGACCAAACAGGCAGTGGTCAACACCCAACAGAAGCTCATCGTTCCCCCTTATACCATCCAGGATGGGTGCTCTGGTTCAGAAAGGCTTGGGTCCACACAGACACTCAGGGACTCGGGCTCTTGGTGGCTCTGCCTTGTTGACTAGTAGCATGACTGCCTTCACCATCTCGGCCCAGAGGAAGGGGGCAGAGGCCTAGAGGTGTGGAGAAGGGGGTTTGCAGGGCCTGTATAGAAGGGGCAACTGCCAGTCATCACATGCCTTACACTGGAGGGAACTCTCCCACGAGCACACCTGACTGCTAGCACCGAGGGGAATGCAGCATGGCTGTACAGCCGCGCACCCAGTGACTGTGAAGAAGGCACATTGAGGTGCCCATACTGGTTTGTTACACAGCATGGTGATGATCCTGAAGTACCCTCCGTGCACCACGCTTAATGCTGATACCAACCTTTTGCCAACAATTTGCTGACAGTTTCTGTTCTGTGCCAACATTCAGACATGCATCTTCAGACATGAGGCACATACGTCATGATAATGTGGGTTGTGGATGGCTGCATGGGGCTCTCAGGGCATGTAGTTGCCCATACCTGGACTTGGCCCCGACTCTGCACTCAGGCCAGGTACAGGGTGGCGGGGTCCTGTGTAGCTGACCTGGTCTTAAAGGTCATTGGCGTGGTATGCCAGCTCAGTCACAATGCCAGAGGGCTTGGCACATGGCAGGCCAGATTGTCCAGGGAATCCAGCCAGTGGGTGTGGGAACCCCACTGGCAGGAGTCGCCTCCTGGAAATCCTTCTAGAAGCAGAAACTCAGACACTGGGCTGGATAAGGGGGGTGATGTGATGGGGCAAGCATATGATCAGGCAGGGAAAGTGGGCAGGGCTCCCGGACAGCAAGCTGGCACTGCAGGCATGCCTCCAGGCCTAGACTGGGGGCATAGTAGTCAGATGGCAAAGTCAAAGCATTTCTTTGGTCTAACCTTAAACAGGATAGGGCAGAGCAGGGATTCAGGAAGGAAGAAGAGAATTTAAGTTAAGCTTTAACATTGATGCCTGGAAGTCACCCCAGGGGCCTTGGGACCAGCTGGGAGCAAGACACTCAAACCCACTTGTCCTTTGCAAACCACCAGCTCCTGGGTGTTGGGCAGGAATTCCTTTCCAAGCCCTCCGTGGGGAGGCTTGCATACCTGCTGCCTCAGTCAGCTGGCTCAGGAGTTCAGGTGCTGGTGGGAAACAGGGGTCAACCCCACTGTGCCCAAGGGGGCAGTACAGGGAACATTGAAACGAAGGAAGCATTAGGAAATTATTCTCTAAAATTGCATTGCAGCTCTACACAGTATAAAAATGTGTTTCATTTAATTTTTAGTCACCCTCCAGTTCCTCAAGAAATATTCAACGAATGTTGGCAGATTCTATCAATCGTATGAAGGCATATGGATTTCACCAGGTAAAAGAGTTACGTTCTGTCTTCAGGGGCTAAATGCATAGCCATTTCCACTAATGTTTCCAAAATTGGTGTATGAGTCTCATGCAAACGTGAAAGTAAGCAGCAGACGTGGAGTCTGTCTTTAAAAGCTGTGAACCTAGCTTTTAAACCTACCTGTTTATCTGGAGTTGGAAGAGTCTTGGTAAACAGACAAACAGATGCCAAGCTGTATCTGCTAAGATCCTCTCTGAACATCTGAAACTGATGCTAACATGGGCTGCAGGATGAAGCATTCAATTTGGCAGAAAGAATGAATTCAGATTAAGTTCCTGATGTGTTCTTGTTCCTGAGAGGCTGTCCCTTTATGATGAGCAGCCTCCTATGCCATCCATGTCCCCTATGCGAGGAGCCGGGGCATTAGGATTTCTCTCATTTCCATCCATAGATTCCCCTATGGGTGGTGCCTGCATTCTCCATCCTGCTACATTGTTATCATATCATATGTTGCTCACAATAAATGAGTACAGACTGACACTAGGAAGCCATGGTAGGATTTGACCTGCACAAAGTCGGAAGAAATGAGGTGAGATAGGAAGCTGTAAGGAGAAGGTCCTGAGTGACCACCGGCCTGAGATGGGGGCCGTGGTGGAGGCAAGCCCCCAGCTGCATTCTGTGGACATGCATGAACTGCGTAGCTCCCCTGGAGATTTCAAGACAGCATATGAGTTCTTGGTGTGCACACTGCTTGTAGAATACATCCCTGCTTCTAAATGGCAGCAATAGAGTATCTGAAGATCCTCAGTAACACTGCCCAGATTGCATCAGATCATTTTAAATGAGGATGGCTGAGAAAGACGAAGGACCACATGCTGACCTGACTCACCTTTGTTGGGTGTCCCCCAGGTGCCAGGTGCTGTTACAGGCTTTGGGAACACAGTGAACAAAACACACATCACCCCTGCCTCCACAAAGCTCATTCTGGCTGGGAGTGACAGACCACAGTGCATCTGTGCAGTCAGGTGGTCACAGCTCTGTGGAGGACAGTAATGCAGGGCGAGGTTGCTGAGGGATGCCGGGAGCGTGCATGTTGGTTTTTATAGCGGTGGCCGGCAAAGGCTGCTCTGAGGAGTAGAGACCTGGGGAATGAGGGACGGAGCAGCAGGCACGGCTGAGCGAAAGTATGTTCCACGCAGAGGAAACCGCAAGCATGAAGGCACCGAAGCAAGGGCTCGACATGATCAAAGAATGGCGGGGAGGTCAGTGTTGGAGGGCTCAGGAATCATAGACCCTCATTAGGAGTTTGGTAACTAGATCTTATTTCAAGCCATCATGAAAGATGAAATCATCTAGAGAGTGAGTTCAGATGGAAAGAAGGGTGGTCGGAGGCTGCGGCACGGCAGTGTCTCGCTTGGCCCGAGGTCTCTTGTCTCTAATATAAGGGGGGTGGACCAGATCAGTGGTTCTCAAACATTTTTAGACATGAGACAGCCAGACTCACAGTCTTCTACCCTCTCATGAGCATGCCCAGAGCCACATGCCTTCCATCCTTCTCCAGCCTACGGACTCAGAGTGAGTGAGCGGATCGCTTACCAAGCTGCTCTGCAAAAAGGAATAAAACAGAGCCTTCCTACTCTGGGGGCAGTTGAGAGGGTCTAATGAGAAAACTGGTGGCAAGTGTTTCCACCTACAGGGCAGGATGAGAGGCTTTCTATAGGAGATGATTTGGCACCGACTCTCCACACCCAGCCCCCTGGCGTCTGGATGTGTCCGGCCTCTGCTCGGCTGCCCTTCCCCCTGGCCTTCACCTTGATCTTGGCTTGGTTCCTAGTTCCCCTTCCTAGACCTGCATGCTTACAGAAAAACTCTTATAAAGAAGAAGTGATAGTTGTCTAAGTAAAGAAAATAACAATCACCTTGTAAAGATTTTACTGAAAAGTGCATTTTCTGGAGGAATTCTTAGAGAAACTAGACAAGCTCTTCTAGCTGCTCTGCATAAAAACAGTGGTCAGGGCCATCTCCTCTGCTGTTACCCTGTGAAACCATTAATTTTGTCTCCTTTCCCACTGAGCCTGTACATAATTACACTACAGATTGAAAAGGAATATGACATTAAATAGAGCACTTTCAGACAGCCCCATCTTACCAACCAAGTTCCTCCTACATTATTTATTTAGTATTTTCCCTTCAGTAGACTTTGTAGACTTCGTGCTTTTCCTAAACAACAGTAGCTGTGAGATCATAGTTTAATGTTGTAACCATACTTTTTTCTAATCTAAAGTTTGAATCATTTAAAAATATGCATGGGAAGGATGAACAAAACTGCATCCACTTTGAAGGGGTATTTTTTCTTTCTGTTTAAGCTTAGATGTTGCTAGCAGCCCTTTTAATGTAATTCCAGGTTTTGTAAACAGCTTCATAAAGGGATGACAAATTTTAACAATCATTTCAAACACCGGAAGTTGTTCTTTCATTTTTATAATATTGGCAAATAAAGAGGGCTTAGGTCTGGGCAGGAGAAGAATGGGGGAAAAAAGGAAAACAATCAATACACAAAAGTTTAGTTACATCTGAAGTGAAGAGCAGTTAATGAATTATCATCTTCCACTCTGTGATTTATGACTTTTCATGATGAAGGAAAACAAGTTTCACAACATCAAAGTTTGTATTTTAGTTGTGGTGAAATAATTTAACAGCAAGAAAGTCTTTATCTTTCTATAGGAAAACACAACAGGAAAAACCTGTCATTTTTGTGATGGAGAACAAAGTGGTCAGTCTGCCCTGGCCCTCTCAGCTTGCTTCATTATTTAGGTGATCGAGGCTTTTATTTAGTTCACCAAGTTGTAAATTCAGTATTTTTATATGCACTCAGAAGGCTGCACCTGGATAAACAAAGTACATATTAGGTCTAAGCAATTTGGTGTTAGTTTCTCTTCAGTTAAAAACTAGTTTCCTTCAATGTACTTAATGCCACTGAACTGTACACTTGAAATGGTAAGATGGGAAAATTTTATGCTGTGTATTTTACCACAATTTTTCAAAAAGGTTAAAAGGGTCATTTTTATGTTATATGTATTTTACCATAATAAAAAAAACTTCCCTTTTTAAGGAAGGCTCGTGTTATATTTTCCCTTATCAGAGATGATGCTTTGTAAAAATGTTCCCTTTTTTTTAAAACAAAAAAGTGTTCCTTTTTGAGACACCTAAAATCAGGTATAAGTACCACATTTTCAGACACATGGTTCAAGGGCTCTAGGAACATCCCACTGTTCTATGGGAGAGACACTCTGCACTGCAGTGTGCATCCTGGTGCCACAGAACAGAGTTGACAGACTTTTCAGTGAGTTCAGTTTAAAGCTGATAAGACCTAGGTCTAAGGAAAATAAATTATTGAGTACTTACTATGTGTTACACACTGTCCTGGGTACATTGAAAAAACTATTTAACCCTCCTTATAACCCTATGAAATGTTACAAATTTTCTAATTTTGCTTAGAGGAAAATAGCGTGAGAGAGGAGGTATAGTAACCAGCCATGTGGTTGTTCAGCAATGTAGCAGCAGATCTGGCTTCAGGTAGCAATGGCTCCAGGCCTTCCCCACACACTGAATGGGGACTTGAATGTGAACCAGGGGTTCCCAGCGCACTCACAGAAGACACGGAAGACTACCGGAGTCTTCACTGGTGTTTCATTTCTGTTTTTTTTAAACAGAAGAAAGAATCCATAAAGAAAACACAAGATGAAGAAATAAAACAAATAGATGAGGAAAGAACCAAGCAGATTTATAAAAGCTGGAAAGAAGATTCAGAGTGGCAGGCGTCTTGTGAGTATCTATGAGTCCACGACACCTCAGAATCTCTAAGCCAGTTGGTTCACTTATTAAAATGATCAATCCAGGAAGTACTTAAAGTAGTTGTTGAGAGATGTTTTAACACTGAATTATTATTCAGACACTTACGAGCCACTTGTTGAATAGAAATGTTCTCCATTCATCTTTGTACCACCCAAATCATGATGGTTTATGGCTATGAAAAACGTGTTCTGGAAAAGTGTTTAATGACCTTGGAGTATGTTTGTATCTTTGTGGCTTGAAGAAGAAAAAATATTATAAAATAGTATAAAAATATCCCCAATTTAAAATGTCTAAATATAGAGGAGCACAACCAGCAGGTTACTCATATGAAAGTCAGTTTTCTTGGAAAAGTGGGCTTTGAGATTATTTGAATTCTTGTTTTGCTGTATTTTTGTAAATTTCCAACAGTGAGCACACCCTAATGCTGTAATCCGAAGAACACAGTGACAACAGGCTGGGTGTGTCAGCATCCCTCCCGTGCCTGTGGCTCAGCTGACTCCTTTCTGAGCCAGCAGGGCCAGAGAGAGGCCTCCTCGGGGAAGCTGGTGCAGAGGAGGGCAGAGCCGGGCATGCTCGTGGGCACTAAAATTCAGGTTTGGGACAATTAGGGCTTCCGTCTGCCTCAGAGAAGGAAGCCTGAACTCAAGGCAGATGAGGAAGAGAACGGGAGGATGCTGGGAATCCTACCTACGGTTCCATTACCATGGACACCATTAAAATGACATTTTTTTGTGAAATGAAAATATTTGCAAGATCCAGTCACTTCTATGTAGTGAAATCCTGGTGTAATGGAATATTTCTGGTATCTCTTTGAAGTCAACTATAACAGGATTTGGCCAATAAAGCCTGACATGTAAATACACTCAGTAAAAATTATTCTTACAGCTTGCATTAGAGTCTTTTAATACTATGTTGCTAAAACAGAAACAAAAACAGTAAACCTTCTATTTTACAAAGCAATATTAAAAGGCAGGCTTTGGGTACTTTTAGGTGTGCTGACACATTCTAGGATTGTCTCTATGTGAGAGTCACTTTATTTTTTGTGCCGCTGGCCAGTTCATGCTTGGTCCAGCCCACTGGAGGCTCGGAGTGTTACCCGCGGCGAGCCTCACTGCCACTTCTGTCCACAGCCATGAGCCACTGAGCAGCCCCTAATGAGGCTGGTCTTTGCTGGTGGCTCAGAGTACGTGACAGCCTGCACTCGAGTGTGTAAGGGATGTGATGCTCCCTGCTATTCAGAGGCCCTCTGCCAACTGGAAACCTCACTTAGACTGTGAGTCCTCACTTGGTCTTGCCAGCTACAGGGGATTCTCCATTTCTACCTCGTCCCCTCCCCCTCCTCTTCCTTTTCTCTCCTTCTCAGGAAGGCCCGAAACTCCCAGACAGAGGAAGTCCGCAGTGAAGGCTGGGCAGTGTGAATGTGCGGGGCTTGGCTCTGCGTGGGAGGGTTGGTAGTGACGGCTCATTTCCACCAGCGGGCGACACCTCTGCTGAGCGCTGAGCGCCTGCTCTGTTCTCCACCTGCCGTGCTGATTCTTCACCATCCCTCTGGGCTGACGAGGGCCTTTCTCCAACCCCTTTGTTCTTCTAGTGCAAAAATCCAAAGCAGCAGATGAGAAGAGGCGTTCCTTGGCCAAACAAGCACGGGAGGACTACAAGAGGTTGTCCTTAGCAGCCCAAAAGGGAAGAAGCAATGAGGGACCACGAGGCTCCCCAGCTGTTCCACAGAAACCCAAAAGGCCCCCCCTTCCACCCAAACCTCAGTTCCTAAACCCAGTGGGATACCTTCGAATACCTGTTAGGTAAGAAGCCACACATGGCTTTGAGCACTGGGCTGCAGTGGGCTGATGATGGAGGGGGACCAAGTGGCTGCCTGTGTAATTGAATTGAATTCAACCTCACCTCTGAGCCTGTCTTCTCAGCTACCTGGTCTGGCATTCATCCCTTTATCTGTAAAATACCTGCAGTTACTATGATTAGTGTACCCAGTAACTTAGAGCAGATGCACACTGAATTCAGTAACTTCCTGACCACTGCCCACCCCCACCAAGAGGCAGCAGGCGAGCCAGAGAGGGGAGACGAGGACCCCTCAGGGGTCTCATCGGTGTAGAATGGCACTCTTGGTGGCAAGAGAATATCAGAGGGCTTGCTGACTTCCACGTCAGTGAGCTGCGTCTTCATGGCTCAGGACTAAAGGTTCCATGGTGATTCTCATTCTGAGACGCAGAGCCAGGCTCACAGGAGAGTCGGGTGATGTCCCAGTTTCGGGTGAACCCTCCTCTGGGTCATGGCAGTGGTCTTGCCTTCTAGTGGAGGAATTAGGCCAAGAAATTTGTTTTGAAAAATCCCTGAAGAAAAATACAGCGATGTCACAGCAGAAACCCCTTCTCCCTTATGTGACCTGATTATAAAATGATTTTCTCCTGGTTATTGATATTATATGACTTTTTCTATATTCTGACAGGTAGAAGGACACTAAAATATACAGGGGAAGTCAAAAATGGAATGAAGCAGAACTGTCTAAAGTCTTGCCTTCTGATATAAAAATTAAAAATTCTTCTCTGTACCAAGAACTCTCCCTTTGCTTAGAGCCAGCAGTTATCTTCAGGGGTTTTTCCTGATGGGGATTATGACCTCAGAAGAAACACGAAGGTGGACCTTTTCCTCCACTATGATTATTTCTGCTTACTCAGCCGAAAGCTCCCATTTGGGGATTTGGGGCCCAGCACTAAATGGCTGTGTTCTACAGAGTGACAGCCTGGGGGTGATGTTTTCTCTTTGAACAAGACTAAATGAGACAGGCAATCAGGAAACGGGTTCCCGCCGCTCTGTGACCAGTCATAAAGGGGGAGCCTCCTGCGCAGGGCCTGAGCCGTGCTCCAGCTCGCTGGGGCGTGTTGGATGCAGATCCCGGCCGGGCCGCCTGCCCATCCACCCTGCCCTGCAGGCTCCAGCCCTGGTGCGGGTGTGACATGTAACAGGCTCACACCCACAGTATTTTAGAGCACAGCGTCTGTGAGTAACAGCAGTGAAGGTGGCCTTCAATAACGGCAATTCTTGTTTTAAGCTGTGCTTGGTGAGCTCACGTTTTCTGACTTACTGCATGAAGTGCTCCTTGTGAGGCACCCCGACTGAGTGGGCTGTGGCTTTAAACAGTGATGAACGAGGTCAGCAGGAGCCACCCAGGAGGGGACAGAGACTGGTTGTCCTTGGAGTTTTTGCTTCATCTCCCAAAGGAAGAAGCACCCAGTTTGAACGCTTGTAAGAGAATGTACATGTGATCCCATGTATGTGCGGTGTCTGCCCCCCAGGAGAGTCAAATACTGGAGGCTGTTTTCATCAAAGTGCTAGCTGCATGTGAATATGCATATGTACACATGTGTAAGTACACCTGACATGTGTGCCACCTGTAACTCCTGGTAGTATATGTTACAATCAAAAGCATAAAGAGCCATCGGTTAATCACATGACAGGCCATTCCAGTAGCTTTTCCAAACTCGTTGTTTTTGCATTGAATTATGCTCAAAATGAGCAGGCTGTTGTTTGGGACTTGGGAATATGTTTATTACATTTCAGTATTACCATCTGTAATGGAAATAGACTTCCACCCCAGAACTTAAGTTCTGCTACTGAATGCATTTTGAAAGGATTCTGCGGCTGTATCTTTTTCTTACCAATCTTCAAACACTCTTCTTTCTTTTCTTTAAATTTATGAGACTGTCTTTCAGCAGAACTAAACCTCTTCAAAGTGTGGGAGAGAAAAAAGCAAGTCAGGGAGGTGAGTGGAAACAGGAAGAAGAGAAAATACGAGGATTAAATGCTAGGAAAGAAGTTCATTTTATTGCATTTGAATTGTTTGCAGAAACATGCTCTCCAGAAGAACACTGCCAGAGGTGTATTTCACTTCTTAATGCTTTTTCCCCTGATTTTAATTGGGAGTTAATGGAGCTTTTATTCATATTAAATGAATTAAAATCTGTGTATTAACACAGCAGTAGCTCGTACCCCTGACTAGCTCTGTAGGTGGAAGGGCAGGTGGCAGATTGATGTTCGTGCCTGTTTCCTGCCCTTGAGAAGTTGTGTGACAGCAGTGTGTGGGTCCCGCTTCCCATTAGCTCAGCCCATGCAATTGGATCTTCAGATGTCTGTGGTTTTCACCTTCTCCCTCCCTCCCTCTCTCCCTCTTTCTCTTTCTATATATGTGTTGTGTATTACACACACACATGTTCATATGCACACATATCTACATGACACATCAATGCACACACATGTACACACATACATGTGTACACATATATGTGCACACATATATGTGCATACGTATAAATACATACACACACCTATACATATATATATATATACAGCCTTCAAGAATCATATAAACACACACACACACACACACACACACACACACATATAAAATCTGATTTTTGAAGGTTTTGTTTTTAAAAATCTAACTTGAAAAACTTTCATAAATACCAGAAACCCAGGCGTGACAAGGACGGCGTCCAGCTCTGCCCAGGAGGACATCGTGCGGTGGTTTAAAGAGCAGCAGATGCCGCTGCGGGCGGGCTTCGAGCAAAGCTCAGACAGCATAGCACCCTGGTTCCACGGTGAGTGCAGAGCCCCTGGGCGCAGTCTCTGTGGACGGTGGGTGTGGCTGTGTTAGCCCCCCTGGAGGGCAGAAGGAGGAACAGACTCCTTTTCTCTGCTGCCCAAGGAGAGTCTGAAATCATCTGCACAAAGCAGTCTGTCTGAGGTTCCTCAGTGAGCTGCATTCTTGTGACGAACTTAGGAAGCGGTCGGGGCCCTGGGCTCTGTGGGTTCACATACCACCACCAGTAAAACGCCCCTGGGCTGGTGGGAAGCAGAGCCTGCTGCTCACCTCCACCAGGGCGCTCTGTGGACTCCCATCAGATCCCATCAAATGGTGCTGCCGTCCGGGCGCAGAGCCTGGGCTCAGCAGTCAGGCCAGCCCCTTGCTGCCAGCCAAGGGCCCTGGAGCAAATGCCTTCCTTCTGGGTGGCAGGTTGGCTGAGCCTTGTTTGCCTCAGCTGGGAAGTGAAGGCCTCGAACGCTGGACCTTTCAGTGAGAAACTGGTTTTGATCCTTATTGTGGGGCACTGTCAAGGCTGCAGCAGAGCTCCTAGGAGCCTGAGCAGCTGTTGGCTGATAAACCGTCTCTTCCCTTGACCCTAGAAATGTGATTGATTCAAGGCTGTCTGTCCAGCTCACATTTCACAGAGCCCCAAGCTCCTTGGGTGGCAAGGAAAGGAAGTGACTCCCTGCCCCAGGAGGCCTCTGTAAGGGCCGCGACGTGGGCTGACCAGCTCTGCGGACAGCGAAAGCACTTTGAAACAGAAGTGAGGTTGTCCCTGAGCTCGCACCTGCTGGAGGGTGTCTTGGTTTGCGTCACGTCTAGGGCTTTTCTTGGAGAAGCGTGGGGCCCCAAACCTGGGCCAGGTCTCCTCTCCCGCTCGGGCTATGTGGAGGCAAAATGGGGCACGTGCTCTGTGGGTGCCAGTTCCATGACCCGTGAAACAGGCTACTGCTTCTGAACTTCTAGAGGGAGGAGCTGGAATCAAAGTTCAAGGGCAAGAGAGACCCTGAAATGCACACTGGCCTCCACTTGCCAGGCACCGTTTGACCATCCCAAGCAAATCTAGATACACAGAGGCCGTGGGGCTCAGCTCTCCCTGGGCATTCAGCCCCACTGGCCAAGTGGGACTCGGGGAGGGCCCACTGAAGAGATTCTCGGATTCTTACTCATTTATTGTTAGTTTTCCTTAGAGCCAAAGCACATGTCAGCTTCCCCCTGGAGCAGTTTGATGTTAGGACCCAGACGGACTGGCATAGAGGCGAGCTGGTGCTCTCGTGGCTGCCTCCTGGTGTTCCAGGGGGTTGGAGACCTGGGCCTGCTTCGAGGTGGCGTGCACGGGTCCCTCCCCAGGGCGCTTTTCCTCCCGCACCCTGGGGGGACTTCCCTGTGGATCTGTAGCCCCCCTTGCTAAACGGTGCAACCACAGAATTGTGAATACTCAAAGCCGGGAGTTTGGGCAGAGGGCTTTGTGAAGGAACTCTGTGGTTGGTATTTTTCTATTTTTTTTTTAATATTCTGGAGATGTGGTTAATATTGGTTCATTTGGAGATTTAATGCTCGCAGTCATTTTGGAGGGCTGTGAAAATGCTGTCGTGCATATCTGAAAGCCTCCTGCCTTGCTGAGACCTTTCAGTGGGAGAAAGTTCTGGGTTTCATCATGATGTGAATGACCGGGACCATTTGGCCTCCTAGATTGGCCTCCAGCCTGGTCTCCATCTCTGTCCCCTCCTCACCATAACCAAACTGCAGTGAGAGGAAAACCCAAGGCCCCTCCGGGCTCCACAGAGCCCGCTTGGTGGCTGCTCCAGACCTGTCCGAAACCGCATCCCCTGCCTCGCTGGCTGCTCCCCGACAGTCATCTCCCTCCTGCCCCTGCACACGGTGCTTGTGCCTACCTCAGGCCTTAGCAGTTATCTGTCTTGAAAGTCCTCCATGGCCAGTTCTCAGGGAACTGGCTCACATGCTCCTGGAGGCTCAGGGGCCCCACATCTGCTGCTCAGGCAGCAGGCTGGGACGCGGGAGCCTGCAGCTCAGCTCACAGCCCGGCTCTGCGGGGCCCCTTCCGGCTCAGGACGGCCAGTCCCGTCCCGTCAGGCTTTCCATGGAGTGCTGGGGCTCCCCCACAGCCTGGAGGATTCTGCTCCCTTCCCTCATCCAATGAGCGATTTTTCTGACTGAAATACTTAAATGAAAGAGAGTGTGGAGGAAACTCTAAACCCAACGTGTAGCAAGTGTTCCCCCCACTCTCCAGACACGGTGAGTGTTAGATCTGCATTTACTTCATGCCTCCTTTTCTTAGGAAGAAATGAAACCTGACAGCGAATTAAGGCCCCCGTTTTTACTTCCTTCTCGATTCTATTTCCTTCTCTCCTTCTCCACAAGTGAACCACTCTTGTGAGGCGGTCCTTCTATCCATATTTTTATACTTTTATTATATATGTGTGTATTTCTGTAAAATATATTAGTAATATATAGAACATGCTTGTATATCTTTCTAGAAAACATATATATAGTATTGTATTTAACATTTACATGGTATTATACACATTCTTCTGCAACTTTTAACATTATGTTCTTTGGATTCTTTTGTTTATAAATATAGACTGGATCATTCATTTTACATACTGTACAGTATTTTATAATATACATATATGTTATTTATAATGTACTTACATATGCTATAAAACATGTTTTATATGTGTACAGTAAGATAATTATATTTTATTACACATGCACATCATTGATTCATCCCTTCTACATTTGGTACAGTTTTTTGCTGTTACAGAAAATGATACACTGTACATCCTTGCCCGTGTTTCATTGTGAAATTTCTTCAGGGTGTATATCTAGAAGTGGAACTGCTGGGATGCAGGGTGTGTGCATCTCTAATTATATTAAGCATTGCCAGGTGCCCTCCAAAGCGACGATGAACCCATACTCCCACCCGCTGCGCCGCAGAGCCTGTTTTCCCACCTTCTTGCCATACCTGGTGTTGCCAGGCTCCTTTCCCACTAGTCTTAGGGGCCCACTGTGCCCACATTATTTTAATTTGCACCGATTTGTAGTGAGGTTGAGCCTTTCAAGGTTCCTGGCTGGGTGAGTGTCTTCTTCTGTAATTATTTGTAATCGTTTGACCATTTTTCCAATAAATTGAGTTTTTAATATTGATCTATAGGCTTGGGATATTCTAGGTGCTGATCCTCTGTCAGATGAGGGGTTGCATGTATCTTCTACTTTGTGATTTGCCTGTTAGCTTTTGTGCACAGTTTGAGGTGTAGATGTTTTTCATTTCAGTGAGGTTGAGTTTAGCTATTTTTCCTATGGCTTTTGATTGTTTTATAATACACAATCCACCTATAATTTGTTTTTGTGTATGAGCTGTGGTGTAGAGACCCAATTTATTCTTTTTCATACAAGTGGCCAATTGTCTCAACATCATTCATTACATAATTAAATAGTTCTTCCTTTCTCCACTTGATTTGTAATGCTACCTCGGTTGATGCCATGATCCCGTATATGGGGATTACTGTGTAGAAAAGGCTTGAGCAGGTCAGGTTCTCCCTCCTACTCCTTTGAATTGTCTTAACTTTTCTTGGCCCCTTGATATGCTCACAAAACTGTTAGGGGAACATGTCAAGGAATGGGAATATTTGAATGGAATTGCATTGAATTTATAGATTAATTTGGAGAGATAATTGCCATCTTTGTTATTGTATCTTTCCATCCATGGACATGGTAAATCTCTCCTTACATTTCATTTTAAATTGTTAGATTAATTTCCCACACATACATGTACCTTTAAAAAAAGGCAAATTAGATTTGCCCTATGTACTGATAATTTGTTTGTATTTTAAAAGGATTTCTAAAAATCATGTAATTGGCTGTTATTGGTGTAAGGAATTATGTTTTTATATGTTGATCTTGAATCTAGTCACCCTGTTGAACTCTCTTACTAACTCTAATTAATTCAAACAAAAAATTGTTTGTCAGAAGATTCTGTTAGAGCTTAAGGGCAATATGTGCCAAGCATTATACTGCACACTTATTTCCACCGTATGGGAAAAGAACCTAGGAACTAAGATGTTGAGTTCTTTCCAACATCTACCACTAGCTGGGGGCAGGGTCCACATCCAGACCCCAACCCATCTAACTTCAAACCCACAGCCTGGCTGACTGCTAACAGTGGGGGCTCCCACATCATGTGCTTTATATAACCTGTGAAATTTTAATCAGTGGACAGTAATAGCACAGAGATTGTTTCTTCAATAAAGGAATGAGTTCTCTAAATCTCACTGTCAATGGAGAGGTCCCAGTGGCCAGGAGCCCTCCTTCAGCAGTGTTGCCCCTTCCCCAACCAGGAGAAGAAGGAAAAACCACATTTTTATGTGGACACTGTTTTGCTCACTCCCAGGTAGAATCCTAGGAAGCAGATATTTAACATTCAGACCTTTAATAAGGTGCCCCAAGTGTTTGGGATAATAGAAATGCAGGCAATATTACGATTGTGGCAGTGGTTACCCAACTGTATACCTTTGCCAAAACAAATTCGTGAATTCTGCTGTATGTAAATTATATCTCAAGCTGATTTTTTTTTTAATGGAATACTCCCAAATTAGCACAGAGTTTTCTTAGTTCCTAGTGGGCTTGGCACAAGACTCCAAGATGAGCATGCCAGGTTTGAGTGGCATTTTCTCCCCTGTAGTAGCATCTACACTGTAGAGTAGGTTTCTAAAAGTAACTCGGCTAATCCACGTACAGAGCATTTCTATTATTAGGGCTTACCAGCCCTGAGCCGTTCAAGGGTCAGCTCATCCTGCCCTTCTCTTCATTCTAATCCTGACCTCACCACAAAATCCTGTCATGTACAAGCAGTAAGCAGCTTCCATAAAGTAGACCTTAATCACTACAAAAATGCCCTGTGCTAGTCCACAAGTATTTGTTTAGGACCTGTCCTTAAAAAGCCCAGAAGCCAGGAGGTCATCCCAGAAGGCTTCGTGCTTTGGAAGGATGAAA